TCCAGTATATTCTTTGGAAGTCCATTGTTTCAATCCTGAAAAATAATCATCCTTTAGAGGAGAGACAGATAGTGGTACCTTGACTAAAAAAGCTGACCTTTTTTCTGTTATTCATACAGTTATTAAACATAGAGTGAACTAAGAATGTGAGCTAAATTGTGCCTCATTTTAGGTAAAATAAATGTTGAACAAAAATACAAGTGAGGACAAAAGTCCCCTGCCATTCTCCATTGATGCTTTAGAGTTATGCTCTATAGAATAAGTTTTTCTCAAAGGTCTTCTCAGCTCAAAATCAGAATATTAATGCACCATTCTCGGTGATGCATCTTTTTCTTCCTTCAATAAGGATATGGTTAACCTAAATGATTGTCTCCTGGCAGTGTAGTAAAGCATTCACATCCTGCTTCAGCTCTTTTAAATGGCAATCATATGGGAGGATGAATGGAGTATTCTGCCATTTGTGTAAAATACTTGATATATATTATCAGGTCCTGACTTTTCAAAGATGCGCAGTACTCACATAATCCATTGACGTCAGTTGTAATTCTAGACACAATCGGTATAGTTTAGAATGGGCAGAAAGCACAATTACAATAGGACTGTGGCTCAGCTATATTCTGTACCATCAGCTCATTGAAAAACACACACACCTTGGTACATACTCCCCAGGGATACAGACCCAGGTTCAGGAAGGGGTCTAAAATGATAGTATCATGAATAAAGATGATATAATCAAATCATGAGGTACAGGGTGATGGGTAGTATTTAAGTAGTATCAAAGTGTGGTAACCAGACAATGTCAGAGGGTGGCAACCTGACACATCAGCAGTGATATGTAAGTTGTTAGTACCTGTATATAAAGTGGTGTCTTGGGAGGGCGGGGCGGAGGGAGACAGTCTTTGGATGACCTAGGGGGAATGGAAATTTCCCATTGATTGAGTCATTCCATTGTTACAAATGACACATGCATTGTGGTTCAGTAAAGTCTACTGACAACTATTACAGTACTTTGATTAACAATAAATCTGGCTAGACACCTTTGATCCTTATCTGATTTGTGGTCTTTCGGGGCTCTCTTGGGGTCTGCTGCGGACACTAAGTGCACAAGTTGACACGGAACACATCATTAAGCACACAGACAAGCAGCCTTTTGGTTATCATAAATGGAGCCAAACACCTGTAAGAACATCTTGACAGTAAATCCTACCCCCACCTGACTCACTGCACCAAGCTTATAGTTTATGGGCAGAGCGGATTGTGTAGTTTGATTTTTTTTTTTTTGACTATTAAGTTCACTTCATTTATGAAGATGCGGGAGGAATAAGTCAGGATCCAAGACTTGTTGTCCTGATAAAATATTCCTCCAAAGTTGTCCCAGAGGAAGTCTTGGGAACTGAATGTTTTAGAAGGGAAGGGCTCTGGTTCAAGAGGTACCAGCAAGTAATGTTGTATGAAATAGCTCTCCAGGTTTTTGCTTAAGAAAAAGTCTTGGATCCTCCACAGAAGGATTCCCCCTCATGGTGTTGGGTAGCTTTTCTGGCCTAGTTATTAGGAAATTCTTGTATCCATCAGGACAGGAACCCTTGGGATCCTTTTCTTGTCAATAAAGCAGTCAGTTCTTTAGTTCATGGCACTCCTTGTTGTTGTTTCTTTAAGTAGAACCAGGTAGGATCCAACAAATAAGACTCCAACAGTGTTTATTAGTCTACTCAGTCAGTCAGATTGGATCCAGAAGTTGGTTCTGATTATGACCTGTTATAAACAGCTGCTGGTGGACTACTTTGAATCTAAGCTTTTCATGTCTTTTCAAGATAATGTGGCCATCTCTAGTCAGGAAATTCAGATCCTTCATGCAGACTGTCGGTGGAACAGTCTTGTCTCTGTAGATCGTCTTAGAAATTTTTGGTTTTGGAAGGTCTTTCCACTACTTTGCAGTTCCTGCCAAAACTTCCACCATTGTTGCCAGGACCTTTTTCATCAGTTGAGAAGGCAAAAAGAGCAGTCGGTTTTGGTAAAACTTCTCTCATTTAAGATAAACAAATAATAACTTAAAACGTAAGGACTGTCTTCCTGACATTGACAAAGTTCCTTATGCAGTCAAACAGATATATTTGAAAGCCAATATTTAGACTTTCTGATAAATATCCTTTGGGTTCAAGAGGTTCCACAAAGCAATTTTGAAATAATAAAAGGTCTATGTGACAGGAATATTCTAATGAGCCTTTCTTGCCAACAGATGTATTTTATATGCCATTCAATTTGGGTGTCAATTCTAGGGTCATACCACCTTTTTTTAAAAAAAAAAAAAAAAAGGAGCAGTGTAGGTACTGAAAGCTGTACAGCAGGAGGGAATAGCTTACATCACTCAACTGATCTTCATGCTAATGTAGTGACACCAAATGATATGCTGAAAGCTTTTTTTTTTTTTTTTCCAGCTACCCTTTGTCAGAAAATAATAGAGTTTTGGGCAGGGGTTTTCAACCTATTACCTTTGGAGGCTCCCTCCTGCCCCCAGCACACAATAAAAATTCCACAATCCACCATGCTGTTACAACAGTCTTCAGTAGATTAAAAACTAGGACTGTTGTTAAGGGGTAGCAAGCAGAACATTTGCTCAGATGTCCTTCCTGGGAGGAAGGTCTTGAGCTTCAGTTCTGAGCAGTGGGGCTTGGGATTCAGCTTTCTGTTGTGGGCCCCGGTGAGCCTAATGCTGGTCCTTTACTCTCAGATTTGTTTTGACAAACCCCCTGAAACCTGCTCACAGCCCCTCAGGGTGTTTCAGACCCTAACTACTGGTGTTGCAGGTTGTAGAATGAAAGGTGTATGAATGAGAAATTGCAATCAGTGTGTGGGCACTCGTATTTTCTTCCCAATCCATAAGAAAAATTTAGGACTAAGAAGCAGAAAGACATGCCCCATATACTCCTTCTACACCAGACTTTAGGGGTGCCCAGGCTAGTAGATTTTTGTGGGGCCCCCTTGGCTCTGGGGTCGGGCCAAAAATGAGTTCAGGTTGTGAGAGGAAGCTATTGAGAAGCATCTCAACACTCATCACAGATCTTGAGAGAGAAATCTAAATTTATCCATGTGAATAGAGTCAGGATAACAACTAACTTTATCTGCTCTCAGTCTCAGAGGTAGTTTTGCTGGCTTTGTTGAGGCACCTGTACAATATTCTCCTTGCTACGTTATGCTGGGAAACCCCACTCCTTTCAGACACTGCCTTTATCTCCCACGGTTGCTAGGAATTGATAACTCCCCCCCCCCCCCCACTCCCAAAAAAGGTGTTGGTTATCCTCCAGAATGTATATGCCATCTACTTCTTCATCTGTCCTTCAGTGACCCTTCTCACAAGAGTCTTTCTATGTCAAGAGGTAAACCATCTCCTCAGCATGAGAGTTACAGAGCCTATGCCAGTACATCTGAGGCAAAGGCTTCTACTCTCATTATTTTCTCAAAGAGAAAGGGAGGTTGGAGACCCATATTAGACTTGAGTGCTCAACAGATATGTCAAAGAACAAAAATTTAGTGTCTTGTCATTTGTAATCTCACATTTTGTATGTGTAAAATTATTAGTGTCATCTGCATGGTTCTTTACAAAGAAAACAAAAATGCTATATGAGATCTAACATTTATGTACTAGAAGATTTACCTGGCATTGCTCAGGTTCTTAACTCAATTTTTGTTTGTTGGAAAATGAAGTGAAAATGTACGTGCTTCCATTTAAATGGTTGCTCAGGGCTGGATATGAGGGGTTCAGAATGCAGGCTGTCCTGAGTAGAGGACTACCCCAGTTCTATCTTATGGCAGCAGATTGGGGCTAGATAAGAAGCATCTCTCCATAACCATTTCAGCTCCAGCAGGCACAGCTCAGGGAGGGGTGTATGTCCCCTGTTTGAGGAAGATCCAGGTTAGGCATGGTGGGAACCATGAAAAGACCACTTGTCCTGCAGCAGCTTTGGGGCAGCTCTGGGCTAGGTTCCATGGATGGGGGCAAGGCACCTCCTTCTGGCCCAAGCATGGAGTGGGTGAGGGGAGGTGTCCCCTCCTGGGCTCCAGCACAGAACTGCTATGGCTGGAGGGGAAGGAGGTGGGGAGAGGAGAGGCGTGAGGTACCTCATCCCACGGCCCCAGAACAGAGCTGCTGCTGTAGTGCTGTGCTGGAGCTGAAGGAAGAGGTGACACTATACATGTCCACCCTGAACCTCCTTTCAGCATTCACTCAGTCATGCCAGTTTTGAGGACTGATCTTGATTTTGGTTATTCTGTGTTTCTTCTGTTTGTTCTTATGAGACGCAGTTCCATTCCAGGCATATCATGTTTTCCTGGCACAACCAAACCCTTGTGTCTTAAGTTATGATAAGAGGAAACTGTATACTGAATTCAGTGGTTCTCACTCTCACTCTTTAGGAGTTCTCAAATAGATAAACACACAGACAAACTCTCAAATACAGTAGGTTCAGATATTTTATTTATAGCTTCTTGTTTTGAAAGGTATTTTTAACCATATTATGAAACTAGTGCATCTGCTGTTAACCACAAGTTTATTCAAAACCTACACAGTATTCCTAAATCTTTTTTTAAGTTGTAACATTGGTATAATATCATTCTTCACCTTTTAATAATGGTAATTCTCATTCATACAGTGCTCTCAGTAGCTCTTATGCTTGAAAAAGTGACATCACCCAGAGTAAGCAACAGTCATAAAACTCAGCATTTATCAGAATCATTCTGTTGCCTTGTGCTCCCCACCTGGTGTGTCTGTTCAGCCATTGTCTCTCACCTTATGCCTGCACTGCACAGTCTTCAGATCAGAGATCATCTCCTTAGCTCAGTGGGCCTACTGTAAGCACCTTCAGGGTACAAACAAAAATAATTTTCTCTTCTATTACTTAATCAGCGCTTACTGTTCTACATAACCTTCTTGTGCTCTACTTGTGTAATTCAGAATATGCCTTCAATAAACAGCATTTGATAAAACTGAATTTCTACTTTCTTAGGTTGCTGTCCCCCTCAGGAAAGATTAGGTTACTTGATGTTGGCAGTTGCTTTAATCCATTTCTGAAGTTTGAAGAATTCTTGACTGTCGGCATAGACATCGTCCCGGCTGTTGAGGTATGTAATGTTGGCTGAATTTATTTTTAGTCTGAATTACGTATTCTACAGTAAAAGACTTAAGGGAATATGGGTCCGTTTTAAAAGCTGGTATTCTGAGGCTTTTGAGGGTATGGGGGAAGTGTAGGTAGCACTCCTCAGAACCCATGTCAATGAAGAAAATATTTTAAGATAAACTTAGATTGTTAAAACAGTCACAAAAAGACATCAATCAAGGATGGCCAAACAATGACTTATAAGCCACATGCAACTCTGTAGCTGTAAAAGTGTGGCTTGCAGAGCCCTGAACCTCTTTTCCACCTACCAGACTTGGGAGAGCAGCTGGAAAACTTGAGAACTCTGGGGTAGGGGATTCAGTAAGAGCAGGCCTTGAAGTCCCAAGTCCCTGCAGGTGCCTCTTGAAAGGCTGAAGCCCCAATAGGTGTGTCCTGGCTCTCAAGCGTGTGAAGATTGTCTTATTCAGCTTGGAGGTGCAATAAGTGAATTAATTTTTATTGTTAAACAAGGAGAGGGATACCTGTCAAATCCCATAAACATGCAGGATATATTTAAAGGCATTTTTTTTTCATTTTTTCGCTAGCTAAAAATAAGAGAAGACAAATGACTTTCAATTTAGAGCAACATAAATATACTATATCAGAGCTGTTGGCTGCATGAAACAAACAGCACAGAAATTAGGGCTAAATGTATACCCACACAAAATTGCACTAGCTTAATTAAATCTGTGCAACACAACATTCTTAGCTAAACCAGTGCAATCTCTGTTTTTGGAAAAATCCTAAAATGTTTTAAACTTCCTATAATTATTATGTACTGATTTTGTCCCCTCCTCTTGGCCTTACTTATGTTATTGATGATTAATCAGACTCTCCCTCATGAAGTAAGGAGTCTCTTCAACAAATGTGAGTCACAAGACAGTAGGAGGGAGATGAGAATATATAAAAGGAATAGATCTTGATTTTAAAACTTTAACCACACCCACCGTCTTTAAGAATCCTGAAGTGAATGAGCAATGTCCTATTTTAGAAATGTAATTGGAAGCTAATACATACTACACCTAAACTTTGTAAAGCCAAAGTAAAAATGTAAAAGCTTCCATTGTGAGCAGTGCTATTCAAATCAGTGCATGACCAAATTTGCTTTCAGTCAAAGGGAATGGTTATATTTTAACACAGTAATATATCAGCCTTTGTATTCTTCAATACTAGTTCACAGTGAGTGTGGAGTCAGGATTATATAGAATAGATGTGGGTTCAGTAATAGTAACAGCTTGAGTATAATGCTGTCCTTTTTTTGCTGCTTTGTATAAAGGCTTATTGTTTGCAGTTGTATAGCATTGTTTAGGCAGAGGATGCCCTATGTCAGGAGTGGGTAAGACAGCCTCCATGGGCTGGATCCAACCCACCAAGCTGGTAGATCCAGAACATGGCCGCCCTCCCACTCCCAGGCCAATCAAGACCTGGAGATGGGGGAGTGTGCAACCCTCTCCTAACCCTAACCCTCTCCTGCCAGGGGTGCACAGCACCAGAGGGAACTGAGAGCTGTTTTAAAATAGCTAGCAGTTCTCCCTAGTGGCTGGGCAAAGGCAGGGGTGCGAGGGTCTTCACACACTCCCCTAGGCCTTGATTGGCCTGGGGCTAAGGGGGAGTGCACAAATTCTCCTCCTGCTGCAGTGCCTAGATTTCATGTGATTCCTCCACCCTCAGGCTAATCAGGGTCTGTGGGCTGGGAGCACAAGAAGTCTCCTGGCCCCACCCCTTCCAGGGTGGCCAGGGGCCCCTTTTTAAAATTATTGCCCATCCCTGCTTTATGTGGTATTGCAAACCTTTTAGGAATTGATATTGGATCCCTAAAAGGATTTAAGCACTACTGAGTCCAACATTTAAGCACTACCCAATGAGAATGTGCATATCTGCCTCAGTCTAGGTGTCTAGGTGCCAATGCCCCAGTGGAATTTTTAAACTAAACATTCCCCACCTGTCTTGCTTGTATGTCTCCATCTGATAAGTGTGTTCTGAGCATTCCTAACACCACCACACAATGTGGCTTGTGCGGGAAAAGTGGGAGGTATGCATTACTAATAAGAACTTGTCCACAAAGAGATGTGGTGCTTGGAAAGCCATAGTTTAATTCTGTAGTGCACTAACCTGCTGCACACTATGTAAACCCTGTTGCTGTATGCTAAATGTTCCACGGTGTGGTTTTATCTTGTGCTGAGAAACTCTGATGTCTGTCTTAACAGTAGATCAGATCACACTAAAGAACTTAAATGTGTAGCAGTAGCATCCACATAGTGACTTAATGTGCAGCAAGCTACAAAATTGTGGACTAAGGCTATGTCTACACTACATCTTAAATCAGCATAATTTACATTGCTCAGGGATGTGAATAATCCACTCTGAGCAACATAAGTGCTGGTGAGAACAGGGCTATATCCGAGGAAGAAGCTGTCCTGCTGACATAGATACCATCTCTCGTGGAGGTGGGTTTTTTATGTTATTGGGAGAGCTCTCTCCAATCAGCATACAGTGTCTTCAACAGATGTGCTGCAGTAGCTCAGCTGCATATATAGACAAGCTCTTACTCTGCGGCTTGGCATGCACTAAATCTCTGTATAGATGAGCCATGTAGAACACCTGGATCATCTACCCCCACCAAATGAGGAGAGTGAGCTTGAACCTGGGTCTCTCTCTGAGGTGAGGGGGTCCTAACCACTAGGCTATAGTCATTCCATCCTTTTTCCCTTATACAATACTCAAATCCCTTGGTGGATCTAGTCCTTAGTCCATGAACCCCTTACTGCTTTTTTCATTGTTAAAGATATATATGGTTATAATAGAAAAGTTGTTTCTGCAAGTCCTACATATATTTTTCTATACAATTTAACACTAGTATCAACTAATATGTAAGAATATATATACTTAGCAAAATTAACTATTTCATCTCAAAATAATCATACTTTTCCAATAAAATCATAGTTCATATAAGGCCCTTTGTAATTGCATAGAAGAATGTAAGATCAAGTTACAGCAATCAATTCTTGAGGATTCCCAGATAAATTACTTATAAACTTAAAGATGCTGCTAAGGTAACTTAATCCGTGTCAGCCAGGAGTTGGAGATTTTTAAGTACTTACCGGACCTTCATAATGTAACCCATAAAAGTGTAAAGTGGCTACTATGGAAACTAGTAATGGTGAAGCGCAAACTAGCACAGACAGAAAACAAAGAGCAGGAGTTAACGACCATGTTTATAAAATGCAAAATCTTAAATATGGATGCTGTATTCTGAGAATTGGGGCTTTTAGAATATAATAAATTGGTGTTATATTCATTACTTTCATATTGCTGAAACATTCATAGTAATAAGGGTTAAGGTTCTCCATCCCTAAGGACTTGGTGGTTTGTTTCTGTACAATACCAAATGAAAATTCCAGTTACTGTATATTCTCAGTTCATTTCATGCCACTGTTTTGCATTGTGAAAAATAGTTGGAGCACATCTTACAACTTTTATATACAGTCTCTGAGTAAGAAATAATTATATGTAGACAAACACAGAAAACCAGAAAAGGAAAAAATGTTAATGCAAACAGTGACAAGTAGCTTTAGAACAGTATGGGCTCTCTAATTCATACTTCAGTAACTTTCAATAGCTTTTGTCATTGAAAAAGTAAGCAGTGAGTAGCGAAGTTTCTAAGAATGAGTTACAGTACAAAGTATGCTGCAGAATCTTTATTATACTGTAAAATAGCATCCATTTGTCAAATGTTCATTACATAAATGTTTTTCTACTTTTTTGCATTTCATCTTCATTACCAGTTTGCAGTTGAGTATTTCACAGTAGATTGTCCAGTCAGCCATGCAAATTTAGTGAGCCTCTACAGCATTAAAATGTTTTGTCCTAAAACTGTCATCTTTTTATGAAAAAAGTCAGATAATTAATCACCAATAGATATATTCTGTGTCCTAAATTGACAAAACACATGGAACATGTTAATTATTTTTGCAGTATCCAGTGTTTCGAGGGAGTAAGAGTTTGATTCTCTGTGTATTGAATTACAATAGTATTTTACTCTTCAGTAATTTGGATTTAAGTTATTCTGTGAATTTCCTGGATCCTTAAAGCAATTAAATTTAAAAAAAAAAATTTAAATGGATGCTTGGGTATGAAAATGAAAACTACAAATCCAAAGAGGAGTCGTGGCATTGTTTTTAGGATTGCATTGCTTATTTTATACTGCCCCATATTTTGCATAATTTTTTGCATTGGCAATGTATAGTTAATTGAGAAGGAGAGGATTTTGCAACCAAGTATGAGGCATGAGTGCATTTGAGCATTTAGAGATGCAAGCAGAGAATATGGGGCCAGCACTTTAACTGAGTGTTTCTATCAAAATGATCATCAGTGAAATAGTTTTTGTGACACTTTAACAACTTTAGGATTCAGAGGCGACACCAATTGAGATTAAAATGGGTAGTTCACATTTCTGAGCTGTTGGGTGTCAATGCATTGATTCACATTTGAAGGCTTTATGTGCAACAGTAATAGCTCGCATTCTTTCCATTAACTTTAGATTCTACAGCACAATTTAGTATCAAGAGAGATAAAAAAAGTATGGAATATCTAGGGGCTTCTTCATAATCATCCCATGTATTCATTCACATAATGTTTGTTACTGAGAGCAATCTTAATCTATTTTAATATTTTCTCTCACCAGAGTGTATACAAATGTGACTTTTTAAACCTTCAAATTCATCAACCTCTTCAGCTTGCACAAGATGCTATAGATGCCTTTCTTAAACAGCTGAAAAATCCTATTGATTCTCTACCCGGAGAACTCTTCCATGTTGTAGTTTTCTCACTTCTCCTTTCTTACTTTCCATCACCTTATCAACGATGGATATGCTGCAAGAAGGCCCATGAACTTCTGGTGCTGAATGGCTTGTTGCTTATAATCACTCCTGATTCCTCCCACCAGAATCGCCATGCTATGATGATGAAAAGCTGGAAGATTGCCATAGAATCCCTGGGCTTTAAACGTTTCAAGTATTCAAAGTTTTCTCACATGCACCTGATGGCATTTAGGAAAATCTCCCTGAAAACTAAAAGTGACTTGGTTAGCAGGAACTATCCAGGGATGTTGTATATTCCACAGGATTTCAACAGTGTAGAAGATGAGGAATATTCTAACACTTCCTGCTATGTTCGATCAGATATTGAAGATGAACAGCTAGCTTATACCTTCATGGAGCTTCCTGATGCCCCTTATGACTCAGACTCTGGTGAAAGCCAAGCTAGCTCAGTCCCTTTTTATGAGCTAGAAGATCCTATATTACTTCTAAGTTAATGTAACAGTTGAAATTCCCTTTAAGTCCAAACTTCTTTATTGCTTAACCAATTTTGCTATACTAACATGGGCTTGTTACATAAAAATGGTTTGCAAAGAAAAATGCAAAGGTTTACAGAGTGCTATTTTTTTCTACTTTTGAATTTTAAAATTTATTCTTGTACAAAAAGTGAAGAATACATGTTTTTTGCAAAAAACGACTCATGTCCTAGTATAAATTGCTGTTACTTTCTTTAGGATTTTCAGAAAGGTACCGGGTTTTTTTCTTCAGTGCTGTGAAATATGTGAATTCTACTTAATTTACTAAATGTCTTGTTTCAATATTTTTAGCTCTTAATATGGTTGAGCTTATGACACTGGAGTTGGTGGATTTCTGAGAAGTAAATTTCACTTGGATAGTAAATACGCAAATAAGTTTGGAGTAAGCTGTATGGTGGTTATAACTTGTCCATATTTTTCACTGAAAAAACTTTCTGTACTAGAGAAAGTTGTTTCATTCTGGGTAAGTTTGGGCTGAAGAAACCTTAATACTTGCACATTGGTTTTACTTTAAGATTTGTTGCTCTTTCTATTTCAGTTAATTGAGGTAATGCCAAAATATTGAAGCATATTCTCTCATCTCTGTACACATGTAAAACCTCACTGGTATAATACAGGTTGAACTTCCCTTGTCCAGCACCCTTGGGACCTGAGTGATCCCGAATAAGGGAATTTGCTGGACCCGGGGAGGTCAGGCATCTGGGCTCTTGTCCTGGCAGCTGCCCTCGGAGGTCCTGGAGACCTGACCTCCTCCAGCTCACTTGCCTGGGTCTGCTGCCCGCAGCCCACTCATGGGGCTCTGCTCCCTGACCCCAGCCCCACATGAGGTGGAAACTGCTCCCAGGGCTCTCTACCCCATATCACTGCCCCTGCAGGCTCCCACCGACCAAACCAGCTCTGTTACCAGCTGTTCTCAACCTCTGCGGCTGGGGTTCTCTGGTCTAGCAACATCTATGGTCCTGTTGGACCACAGATGTTACCAGACCCCAGAGAATCCCGGGCAAGAGAGGTTGAACCTGTAGGAGTAGGTGTATGTTGATGAGAGACTAGCTCTGGCATGGGATATAGTACAATAGGTTTAAATACCTTTTTGTTTTTTTAATTCAAAGCTGGAAAGTGTTTGCAATTTCATTATTAAAGTAGCATTAACATATCAGTATTGCCCACATTGGATAGTTTTCTGTATTCTTCTAAAGTTCTATTTTGCATACAAGTTTTAGAGCAAAATTCTTATGGGTAGGAAAAATACTAAGATTAAGTATTCTTTTATAGCTATAGATCTTAATTGCAGCATTTCCACACTCTAGCAGGCCAATTTTGTAAATACTAGGACTCAATTCTACACATTTTAAAGGATGTGCATATACTTATGAGTGGTCAGTGGGGTTACTCACTTAAGTGAAGTTAAGAGAATACTTAAGTATTTGCAAGATTTGGGCCCCATTCCAAATAAGGCATTTGACTGGACACTTCCTGTGACTTTCTATAAAATTTTGCAGTTTGGCACTGAGACAAAATCCATTCTGTACACATTCAGAACTATTTCATTTAAATATATATAGTAAACTTCTGCAAACAAATGTCTATACTGGTGTAGAAACAATGGTCATTTTTTAAATACTTTTGCTTGCTATTTAAAAATAATTGCCAAACCTGGGTATCTGAAGTTAGGTAGCTGCATGTGCATTTGAAACTAACTACCGAACTAGAAGTAGCTTGAATTAAGTTCCAAAATGTGGGCTTTAAGACCCTAACTTTAGAATAGATGTAAACATTTTTTTAACTAGTGTTATAAAGGTAGCTTCACAAACAATAAAATTGATCTTTAGGCCCTATGAAACTAATATATTCATCCTTCAGAAATTACCAATTGCCATTTCTAGTGTGAATTTTAGGTGGTTATTAGGTTTAGTTTTGTTTTTAAAACAATTCCATTGAAGTTTTGCACTGAAGTTTAACAAATTCAGATGTCTTGATTTGCTTTTATTTTTTATTCTATACTTTCTTGGCAGTTGGCCCCACTTACACCATAATTTTCACAAACTGAATTTAATTGCTTTATTCTTCAACATAAGCTTTTTGTAAATCTTGCACATCAGATAAGATTATAGAGAATTTTTTAAAACTTGATTGCTATAGTTAACTGAGTGACGATTTATTTACAAACAAAACAAGAATTATATTTAAAAATGTAAACACTTTTAAGACTAGACAGAAGCATTGAATTAAAACTTATGATAAATTAAGAGAATAGTAAAAATTTAACAAAGCCGCTGATACATCTACTGTGTATTTTAATTAAGTTAAATACAGCTTGATGTGGTTATGTTAAAGCTAAATATTGGTGCTATAAATTCTCAATTGTTTACAGAAATTATTGATACTGATTCTGCTTATGCTCCATAGTGTGCATGAGCTATTTTAATTGGTACTCCTTTTAAGAAAAAAATACAGAATTTATTACCACCTAGCATAAATATGTGTACTGATCTAATGTAAGCTAACACTCCATTTACCAGTTATTCAGATGGATACTGCTTGGAATTCAGACCAAGAGATAAATAATTCAGACCAGAAATAATTTTAAAAATTGAGTGTTTGAGTTCAGCCTATCTGACAACTTGGTGACATTCTAGTTGTGAATCAAGGACTCTAGATTATTATAGAAGCTGTGGTTCTTTTTGCTGCCCAAACTAAATACCCTAAATGCTTTCCAGAAATGGAGGGCATGGTTTGGCATGAGGAAAAGGAGTTTTCTGCTATTCTGGCCTGTCAAAACAGGAGAGAGATGTCATGCTTTTAGAAATACAGTTTTGGAGGTTCAAGAAGAATGTCTCTAGGTTTTGAAACTCCTCAAAATTGAGATGTGAAAAAAGATCCCCATACTCCAGATGTCAGGGAGAGGGAAGCAGGCAGACCACAAAATATTTGTTGGCATTTATGTTGTGTTTATTTCACTACTTTTGTGAACAAAGCACATGTATTAAAAAAAATAAATAAAACCCTTTTGTCAGTGTCTTATTTTAGGGACTGTTGTCTTTTCTTGGAAGCTGTTCATTTGTTATTTGTATACATTACCACATAAAATTATAATTAGGGATGTTAGATACTGGTTAATTGAATAGTCGAGTAACGAATAGGTATTCATCAGTTACTCAACTATTCTATAGCCCGGGGGGAGGGGAAGCAGCGTGGGGTGCTAGGTGGGAGCTGGTCCACCAAGGGAGCCAGTTTAAAAAACAGTTCTCTGCACACACCAGCTGCCTGCCTCCCTACACTGCTCCCTGGGAGTGGGGCCGGAGCACAAGGACAGAGGCTGCTGCAGGGGTGGGGAACGGGGCGGGGCAGGGCAGGCTGCCATGAAGCAGTCTCTGTCCACTGGGGCTTGAGCTCCAAAAGTCAGCAGGGAGCTGGAACCTCCCACTGACAAGAGCTGCTGCTGCAGATCAGCCTCTGTCTGTGGTGGCCAAAGCTCACCATGGATAAAGGCTGCTTTGCAGGATACCTTTCCCTGGGCCTACCTCTCCCCACCCATGCTGCTGCAGAAAGGCAGATGCGCAGGGATCAGGGAGGCGGCACTGCCGAGCCAGTGCTGGGAAGAAACGGTCTTTAAGCCAGCTATCCCCAGCACTGATTTTTCCCTCACCCCCATGCTGCCTCTGATACAGAGGTAGCAAGAGGGGGAATGCAAGTAGTCAGATTAACTGATACATTTAGGCTTATCAGTTAATCGTATAGTTAATTACTTGTTTACATGCCTAGTTATAATTACTGTATAAAACATTTTGGAGAGGAGTGTTGAGTGACAACAATTTATGAAGCAAGAAATAGTAACTAAAAAGCAAAATTTGGTATTTTTTATAATGTTTGTTTACTGAAATATTTTTTTATAATCTTAAATATTATATAACACTTCAAATTAACAAATATAACTCACTTCCTTTGCTTTCCTGTCTATTCTATATACCTCCCTTTCCAATCTCCTCCTCACTCATTCTGCTTTTCTCCACCAGTCTGCCTCTTACAGGGTACAGCCTTGCAGCACTTACAATAGGTGTTTCCTCTCAGGGTACGTCTAGACTACTGCGTTTTGTCGATGGATGTTTTGTCAACAGATACTGTCAACAAAACTTCCGTCGACAAAGAGCATCCAGACACATTGAGTTCTGTCGACAAAGCAAACTGCTTTGTCGACAGAACTCCGTAGTCTGGACGCAATGTTACAGGCAATAACACCTTCTGTCGACAGAGTTCTGTCGACAGAAGGTGTTATGCCTCGTAAAATGAGGTTTACCAGCGTCGACAAAACTGCTGAGTTCTGTCGACGTTATGTCGACAGAACTCAGCGGTAGTGTAGACGCTGGTATAGTTTTGTCGACAAAAGTCCACTTTTGTCGACAAAACTAGGTAGTCTAGACACACCCTCAGTCCTCATCAATCACAGAGGCATTGAGATATTAGCTCCACTAGAAAACAGTTCAGAAGGGAGAAAAAGGCAGTCAAGAAAGCAGCATGTAGGCCCAGAAGGTTGAAAATACAAGATTCCAAGGCCATTTCAGCAGAAATGTAAGAAGTCGTTTCAATTTTAATACAATAGACTCTACTTAAGAGGTGTTTTTTTTCCTGTGGAGTTCTGGCAATTCTCAAGCTAAGAGGTGCATAAAAAGGTTTTGAGTGTCTATTACCTTTCTCATACCCACTTGGAAAGGGAATATACTATAAACATTGAATGCTTTGGTTGTTGGTTTTTTGTTTTGTTTTGTTTTGTTTTTTTGGGGCAGGGGGAGAGGTGTTTGTTTAAAAGGCAGAATCATGAAAGCTGTTCAGCTATGTATTATGCTTGGAGTAAAGCAGTAGGAAGTACAAACCAACATTAGTTCCGTTGCAAATTCATACCAAAGCAAAGGCTATTCCCATCCTTCTATAACCCATAACTAGATTTTTTTTTCTTTGTTAAATAGCAGCAAATGTTGTTTGGCTGCTCTTAGGCTTTGTCTGCTTTGCCAGCAGAGCCTATGCAAATGAAGCGTGGATTAGCATTTTGCTGTGCTTCATTTGCCTAATTTATTCAAGCCATTTTTGTGCAAAAACAAGCAGTATGGATGGGGTTTTTTGCGCAAAACAGAGGTCTTGTGCAAAAAAAACCCCAGTCCACACTGCTTGTTTTTGCACAAAAATGGCTTGAATAAATTAGGCAAATGAAGCACAGCAAAATGCTAATCTGCACTTCATTTGCTTAGGCTCTGCTGGCAAAGCCAGCAGTGTAGACATTGCTTTAGTGTTGCTTCCTGCAAGAAACCTTGGGTTTTTTTTTTCTTCTCCCTACCTGAAAGAGGGACTTAAAGACTTAAACCCTTTAAATAAATCTCCAGATGCACCTATTGAACAGACCAGATGTCTTATGTGATTGAATCATCAGACTGGTGTTTTATTATAAGGGCCTAGTATCCATATTAAGTTTTGGAGCTCAAATCACTCCAAAGTATGTATCTAAGTAGTCAGGTCAATTTTCTCACTTTGATATTTATTGTATTTGTGGATGATACTCTGCTAATGTAACACAAAGAATGTCTTGCAACCTTTCCCTCTTGTATCTTCAAAAGCTGGTCATTTCTAAAGAGATTTGTCACTTGCACAATAACCAGTTTCTGTGTTCTCCAAGTCCGAGGATTAATAGATGCTTCAAGGGTTTTTTTTTTTTTTTTTTTTTTAAAAGAGTTGAGCCAAGTCCATAGGGTTATGGATTTTGTTTTTTCAGGAGACCTCTGTAGGAACTGATTTACTCCCATTAACTGTTCTGCCAGTTTTAACTAGTGGTGGGAATGGTTACCCAATAATCTAGTCTCTCTGTTATACACACTGGTAAGAGTCAGCTCTTTCAGAACAAACTGAAACAGCAGCTTTATGTTCATAGGCCCTCGTTAATGCCTACATTATTCAGGTTTTAAGTCTAGCCACTGCATAAATCCCCTATTAGATTTCACAGGAGCAACTAGCATTCCTCAAACTGGGAGTCCCAACACAAAAGGGGATGGGGAGAGGGTCGCAAGATTATTGTATGGGGGATCATAGAACTGCCCCCTTTTCTGCATCTGTTGTTGGCAATAGTGCTGTCTTCAGAGCTGGATGACTGGAGAGCAAAGGCTGCTGTAAAGGCATCACCCTGCCAGCAGCAGTACAAAAGGGTGCTATCATATAAGCCACATGGAGTTTTAAAAACAAAACAATATTCCTTCACTCAAAAGTTGGTATACTATTTTTTCTAACTAGAACTATCCAGTCCAAATAAGCTGCACAACAAACAACTTGTTATATTTTAATA